TGAGGAAGCATAACTCATATGTTACAATATACTTTAGGTTTATTTTCATTATAATGATTCGACTTAAAATGGTGAAAATCTTCAATTATTGTGAAGTTGATCAAATATACACTTTTACAATCTTATTTAAGGAAAAAATATATGAAATCATAAATTACTTAAATCCTAAAATATTCAAATAGTCTATATTTGAAAAAAAAAAACTTTAAATTGTGGCCTATCCTAGATTAAAACTCGTGACTTATAGACTAATTTGATTGACACTAAATTATTCGCGCTGCAATAACATTGGTTTATATTGACGAAGGAAAATTTATTTAGTCTATTTCATATTAGTTATTTAATGAAAATCACTATGGAATTTTATAAAAGGAGACATTATCAATCAATATGGTCTAATCAATCCTAAAATGTGAAGTTAATAGATGTAAGAGTGACATATACCGTAACTAATTGTTATTACCCCATTATAAACTTGATCATGTATATATAATCACATTCAATTGACTTGTATTTGTGAGGGAGCGTAACTTATATGTTACTATACACTTTAAGTTTATTTTCACCATAATGATTCGACTTAAAAATCTTCAATTATTTTGAAGTTGATCAAATATATACTTTTACAATCTTATTTAAGTAAAAAAAATATGAAATTAAAAATTATTTAAATCCTAAAATATTCAAATAGTTTATTTTTAAAAAAATTACTTAAAATTGTGGTCTATCCTAGATTCAAACTTGTGACCTATAGACTAATCAATTAACCTAAGTCATTCACTCTGCAATAGCATTCGTTCATATTGACGAAGAATTTTTTTTGCTATTTCATATCAGTTGTTTGATGAAAATCACTATGAAATTTCAATAAATATGGTCTAATCAATCCAAAAATGTGAAGTTAATAGATGTAAGGGTGACATATACCGTAGCTAATTGTATTACCCAATTATAGCTAGATCATGCATATATAATCGCATTCAATTGACTTGTATTTATCAGGGAACATAACTCATATGTTACTATATACTTTACAATTGTAAACCATCATAATGATTCGACTTATACTAATGAAGGATTATCAATTCATGTAAAAAGGGTTCAAATAAAGACTTTTACAATCTTCTTTAAAAAAATCATAATAGAATAAAATTTACTCTAAAACTCGTAACCACAAAGTGGTTTTAAAATAGATAACTAAAATGGGGTAATTATAACCTAGCCTCAAACTCCTTAAATATGGACTAATCGTTTATGCTTTAGCATTTCGAACTTCAATAACATTCCTTGATAATCAAAATCAATATATTGTTTATTCTTGTTTAAGTTTTTTAAGTTAGTAAATAAAAGTAAAATTTACAGGCCTAATCCAAAATATGGAGAAAGATTGAAAAAAGGCCCAAACCAAAAGACAATGCAAAAACATCACAATCACAAAACACACACAGTGTTAAATGAAAATAATATCAGAAATCGTCAAAATAAATTAATGTGTCATTATTTCAAAAACAAATCTCAAAAAAAATATCGCTAGCATAAGTACATATTGTCGTTTAAATAACATTTTCTTTACATTCACATGCAATTAATAATAAAATGTTTTCACAGTACTTTCGTAGCTTAATTCACTCTTTCATTCGAATATTCCAATCTTCAACCATTCTTTTATCATCGGTATAAACTACTGTCAAGTCAAATGATCAAATTTGCACGTTCATGCTCACTTGAATATATTGAATATTGAGATATATGCATACATGTACTCTACAATTATTATAAAAAAAAAATCATAACCAAAAATTTCAAAACAAATATACTTTACTCAATTCAAAATTATTATTCATTTATAATTCCAAATGGTAATTATCAACGAAGAGGAAACAAAAAAAAACATTAAAAAATCAACAACGTATGGAGACTCAAAATTAGTAGAAATAAAAGTGAACCTCACAAAAAAAAACTCTAAAGTTCAATCGAGTAGACATTAAATAAAAATTTCTTAGCCAATGTGAAATGAAAAATAATGATTAAATGTTGAACTTTTCAAAGTGATTTTACTTTTAAAAATGAGTGATTTTAAAAAGTATTGATAGTGATTTTACGTTGGAGGATAATTTGGGTATAAAAAATTAATGAACTTATCCAAGCATCCTCAATTTTTCAAAGAAATTACAAAATCACCTCAATTTTATTGCCCATGTCATTTTGTAACAAAAAATTGTCGTGGCAAATATATTTTCTGTAAAAAAAATTGACAGTAATAGTATGATGAAAAAAAAAAATAGAAAGAAGATTTTAGAGGAATTAAGGTGAAAAGTGTAGTAGTACATATTGTTATGATTGAGGAACTCAGATGATGGCAAGTCTTTCTTATGCTTTAAAAATAGGTCGATCCGCTACTCTTCTCGCTGCTGCGACTTCTCACTCCTTATTACGTAATTACTCCAAAAT